GTTTATAAGCAACCCCGTCTGTGGAGGTGAAGAAACGTTGTTCCTTTTCCACAGATCATCCAAGAAGCAGTGCCTAGGCTCTCTCCTGAGTTAGGGCTACTCCCTGGTCCTGGAATGCTCCCCCCAGGTATTGACAAGCATATTTATAAAAAACTTCCTAAATGTGATAATAGTACATAGATGATTTTTAAACTTGCTTTTCTTCTCTTTATATACGGTGAATATCTTTAACATTAGCACATACAGATCTAACTCATACCCTTTAATATGTGCTTGAGGGCCAGCCCCGTGGCTTGGTGGTTAAGTGCGTGCGCTCCGCTGCCGGCGGCCCGGATTCGGATCCCGGGTGCGCACCGAGGCACCGCTCCTCCAGCCATGCTGAGGCCGCGTCCCACATACAGCAACTAGAAGGATGTGCAGCTATGACAGACAACTATGTACTGGGGCTTTGGGGAAAAATAAATAAATAAAATCTTAAAAAAAAAAAAATAATAATAATAATAATATGTGCTTGAATCGTTATATGATTATTTGTAAGACTTTTAAAAAACTTGAGTCCAGGATATAGATATTCACAGTACTATTCTTTCAAATTTTATATAGGTTTAAAATTTTCCAAAAGTATATGAAAAACCATGATTAAAGCATTCACTGGAGAGACAGCAAAGATGCTGGAGTATTTTCGTGTTCCTATGTTTAGTATTCATCATCTCAAAGTATACTCTTGTTCATTATCTCAGAAGCCAGAACAAACCCCTAAGTTTAACTGAGCGCACGCTTTTTACTTAGCCCATTAAGCTTTTACAAAGTTTATAAGCTTTTATAACGTTTTCTTAATAGTCTATAATTTCCTCCAATTTTCTTCTAGGAGGTTGATGTAAATCAAGCAACAGAATAAAACTCATTTCAAGCTGGAACTGACCCTGGGTCCAGGGTCTTGGAATCATTACTACTTCTGAAATTGTTCAGACATAAGAAAGATCATTTAATCGATTAGAGTCAAAGCCAAAGTCCTTTCAACGTCTACAAGACACCACATGAGCTGCCCCTAAACCTCTCAGTCTGAATCTCCTGCCTCCATCCTCACCAACCAGCCTCCTGCTGTTCTAAACACATTAGCCTTGCACCAGCTGTAGGTCCTTCCCTGCACAAAACGAAATACTCTTCTAGCTCAGACATCTCCAAGGCTACAGCCCTCACCTCCTTCAAGGTTTTGCTCAAATGGCACCTAATCAATGAGGCGCACTCTGACTGCTCTATTGAGAACGGCAACCAGCTTCCCCATCCCTCCCTGCATTCCCGACCTCTTTCTACCTGATTGGAATGAATGAATGTAGGTTGTCAAGTGATAGGTAAACATGGAAACATACGGAGCTGTGGATTTAGAAAGCCATTCAGAAAGAGGAGACTACAAAAGAGCAGTTAGAAACAGAACGAAGAGGGCCGGCCCCGTGGCTTAGCAGTTAAGTGCGCGCGCTCCGCTGCTAGCAGCCCGGGTTCGGATCCCGGGCGTGCACTGATGCACCACTTCTCCGGCCATGCTGGGGCCACGTCCCACATACAGCAACTGGAAGGATGTGCAACTGTGACATACAACTATCTACTGGGGCTTTGGGGGAAAAATAAATAAATAAAATTATTAAAAAAAAAAACAGAAAGAGGAGAGGGGCCTCACAGAGGGAGGAGCCAAAGGAAGGTTCTCAGGCCTGGTCAGCACAAGGTGGTGTGGCCAATAGCGCAGGAGGACAAGGCGTCTTCTTTTCTCTGACTGTTCTTTTTTAGGGCTTCTCTTTGAATAGTTATAAGAATCTAGGTGACCTGGGGCTAAGATACTCGATTCTTCCCACAGGCCACATAACTGAAAAGTTGCAGGCATAACTAGTTAAATTATAGCAGGTTGTCAGTACAATTTTTTATCCTGCTTTTACATTTGGTATTTGGTATGGATTCTCATTTTTCTTACTGCCTTATATTTCAGATTCTGTATAAGTAAGTAGGATGCTAACAACTCAAGATTAAGGCTTGCTTGCAAACAGTATGCTTAAATCACAACCCTTCTGAGTTTACAAAGTGCTTTTGCACCTATTTTCTCAATCATCTTTCATATTAAAGAGGTATCAACCTCCTTAAAATGTCTCCCTGCCCTACAAACAAATGACTTGGAGGTTTTAAGTAAACTTGAGAAATGGAGTCCTTTATTCCTTATTACTCTCGAAACAGATGGAGAGGATGTGTACAGAGTGTTCTGAATAAAAAGAAGGCAGTGAGCTGGGCTGTCCCCCTTTACTCAGATTCTATTTCCTGTTGCACTTCCCTTTACCAGAGGCCAGAATAATTAAACGCTCAAATCAGGTAAGTTGGTGATTTTTCACAAATGAACAGAAACTCTAAACCTGCAGGGGAGTTTAAAGCAGCAGATGTAATTATTACAGTAAAGAAGAGAGACACCCCCACTCCCCCCGCCCCCGGTGCCCCTCAGCATGTGAAATGGCTACTGTTGCACTTAATCAAGCTCAAGATCAAACCCAAAATCTTCACCTGGTTCTTAGAAAGCTCTCCCCTATAGTAGCCAGTGACCACCTTGTCTGTGCTTCCCCCCACCCCGCTCACCCCTGAACTAAAAAAGCCTACACTCTACGCCCGAAGCATTCAGCTCCCGCAATCTCTAAAGCCCTGCTGAGCTGGACAATTACTTGACATCAAGTCCACCAAGTCACCCATTATGGCGTCTGGGATTGGTGCGTCTAGGCTCTCCTGACTGCCCATACCACTTTTATCATAGAGCCAATTTCCCTCCTCCAAAATGCACTTACCCTCCATCATTACAAAACAGATTCCTTGACATAAAATTTGTACTTGAATAACCTTTCCCCAGAGATTATCTCACAGCCCTAGAAACCACCGAGAGATTTGGAAACTCTAAGCATCATATTAGAAATGGAGTCCTTTATTCCTTATTGCTTATGAAACAAACAAGCATCCAGCACTCTTGCAATGAAGAGAGCAGGCACAAGATCATATCAATATGCTGAACACAAGTCCTCTCTGAAATGAGAACAGAAGTGTGAGAATGTACCAGCATTCAAAAACCCAAAGAAGAACATTCAAGGTGGCAAGAATAGCACGTGCAAATACCCAGGGGCAGGAAGGGGCTTGGTGCATACAGAGTAGAAAGGAAACCGAGAGAAATGGTAAGCAAGGAGCAAGTCAGGTGAGAGGTTAGACAGGTGAGCGGAACTCAGCTCTGCAGGGTAAAAACACATGAACTGCATTCTGTGGGCTATGGGAAGGAGTTTTGTTTTTCTTTTTTTTTGTGAGGAATGACATGATCTATGTTTTTAAAAGACTTCTCTAACTATCCCGGGGAGAATAGATGGAGGCTACTGCAATAGTCCAGGCGAGTGATTATGGTAGCTTAGACTACAGTAAGTAGACATATGAGAAAGGCAATTTTTCTAATGGTACAAAACAGGGTAATTTTCAACATTATGTACTAGGTTTTCTCTTACAGTCACCCTTGTGATTTTATAAATGACTGCAAAGTATTAATAAAACTATAGATAAGAGGTCTCAAAGTAGGAGCTTGGGGTCAAATATAGCCTGTAGATACGTTTTGTTTTGGCCACAAAAATTTTTTTTTTTAATTTGAGTTGATATCTAAAAAATCAGGATTTCCAATTTCTCTTGGAACTCACCGGATCTCGCAAACAAGAGCTGGCTAGTGGCAACAGGCTTTCTGGTTTACCCTGCCCCCACACCCAGCACCCTTTACTCACTTATACCACCTGCTGGAAAGACAGCTGCGCTTTCTACTCCTTCAGTCAGGTACCACTTAAGCATGCCACAAGCCCTTGCTCACATACAAGTATCTCAATTTGGACCTTGAAATAGAGAGGCAGGTTCATCTCAACTCACCTTAACACAATTTTGATCAACAGTTGGTTTTAAGCCTTATGTGGCCTGCCAAGACCAGGGAGGGGCACCAAAAACCTGAAGGTCCAAGCATAGGGACAATTCCAATCTGATATAACAAACCAGAGGAGGAAAAAAAAAGGACAACATCTACATGGTCTCAACACTGCCTAGTCCTACAGCTCAGGCTTCCTCATTTTGCACACCAGGGAGCAACACAAGTACTGTAAGCCACCCAAGGGCAGGGACCCATCCCTCCTCCATCGCAGAGCCTGTGCCCAGCACACAGTAGGCACTCCAAGATGTGTAAACAGAATCCAAGAGAAGCTCGGCACCTGGCCATCTATGACACACTTGGAAAGGAATAATTCTCAATCTGATGACTTTCCATTCTACTAAAAAAAGACAGCTGTAATTCAAGGGATGTAGAAATGTCAATCATTTATAGCAAAGGTGATCACCAGCAAAGGTACTGGGCGTGTGCGAATGCGTGTGTGTATTATTTCAAATCTGAGTTGTTTCGGGCCTCTGAACCTTTTGCGCCTATCCCTCTTCCACCTGATTTTCCCTCATCCTCACCCCCACCCCACTTCCACCCCTGGCCAGGATAAATAGGATACATCTATCAGAACATTAGCTAAGATCAATTAATCCACTTTAAGTTTCAAGGATATTTTTTTAAGCTTCGTAAAGTTTGGGAACTAATAAAGCCAATCACAAACCCACCCTGCAAACTCAACAATTTGTAATTTTCTGCTCAAAATTTCCTCTTCATGGCCTGTCCAGCCCGTACCAGCATTCACTCGCCTATCTGCGGACCACACACCCGAGCTATCGGCCCTTACCCAAGGCAAGCCGCTCCACCCCGCCCTCCTCCCACCAGCATCCTTTGCAGAACGAGGATAACGATAACCTCAGCGGGGTTTTCTCCCGTGGGGTTGCAGGAGAAATGCACGGTGCTTGGTATACACTCAGCATCCAGCCTGGCAGCATCTTCATCGTCCTCGGCGAGGTGCGCCGGGCCGCGCTGGGCAGACCGGCGCGCGGAGAGGGTCAGGGGAGACGGGCCAGGCGGGCGGCTCACCCACCTGCAAGCGGACGTTGAGCATCATGGAAGCCACGATGTAGAGGTAGGGGAAGTTGATGCGGAGCCGCCAGGCAAGGTCGAAGAAGATGAGCAGCGTGCGGGTCAGCCCCTTGCAGAAGACCCCATAGGAGCGGGCGGCGGCCGAGCGCGAGAGCCGAACAGCCAGGCCCGACAGAGCCGCCGCCATATAGACCGGCGCCCGCCGCCCGCCCGCCCGCCCGGCCTCCCTCCCGGCCCCTGCGCTCC